GGGGGTGCATCGGGTGGGCGTCCTGGGGAGCCGGTGGGCTCCACGGGAAACCACCACCTTTAGCCGGTGGGCTCTGGCTTAGCGTTAAAAATGTTAAAGGAAAAGGTAAGGGATGAGCGCAGGAGAGGGGGACGTGTTGGGGAAGAGCCGCCCCCGCGGGGTCCCGGTGTCGGGCAGCACCGTGCCTCGAGCCCAGAGGCAGGGCGCAGGCAGCCGGCAGCGCGTCGGCGAAGGTGCGGGAAGGAGCCGTTAGCGGAAACGAGGGCGACGGCAACCGTTCCCCGATTGATCAGAGGTGTCGAGGCTGCTTCTGGCGGCCATTTCGGGTGCGAAACCACCCTAAACCCTGCCGGGCTAGGGGGAGCAGGTGGCATCATCCCCAAAAACCGTGCCGGGGTGACGCTGGTGACAGGAGCGGACGGGATGGGTTTTGGCCTGCGCCTGCCAAAACCAGGAGAGCATCGCCCTGTCCCCACGGGGCCGAGGGTGGGAGCTGGCGGGCAGGACGGCCCAGAGAGTCTTTTTAGGGTCCCCGGAGTCCCCAGCCCCCAAGCAGGGACCCCCTTCCCTCGCTCCCACCAGGCAGCAAAAGGCGCGTTGAGGAGGGGCGCAGGTCGGACGGGCCGTGCCGAGCGCCTCGGGGAGGAGAAGAGCCCGATTTTGCAGAGCTGCCTGCAGAGCAACCCCGCTCAGAGCCGAACCACCGCCGGTAACATCCGTGTGCACGCACCGACACCCCCCTGCCCCAGCAGGACCCAGCCCGGGGAGGCGGCGGGTACCCGGCTCCGAAATCAGCAGAGCCATCACCACCCCGGGGTCCCAGCACGCGGAGAGGGACGGGAAGGGAGAGGGTGGGGACGCTGACGTACCTTGTCCGGGCACCGCGGCGGAGAGAGCCGCCAAGAGCAGGCAGAGCCCCTCCATTCTGCTCAGCCGGGGCGGGGGGAGGTGGGCTCCGCGACCCCGCCAAAAACCCACGGGCATCCCTCGGAGGCGCGGCACACAAGGGCCCCTACAAGGCCCAGCGCGGCAC